GGGGGAGGAGAACACGTGGGGGAGGGAAACACAGAGTTAGAGGCGACGTGGACAAGGTGATGGCCGCGGGCCCCTTTCATCCTGCCGCTGCCCAGGTGGCCCAGAGGGAGGCAGAGGCCTCCTAGACTTCTTGGGCCCAGGGCAGGGGAGGTGGCTGAGAGAACAGAGGCCTGGGTCCCAGGACTCACAGGCGGGAGGGGGCCTCTTCTTGCCTTTGGGGTGTGGTGTGGGAGAGAAGGGACCACACCCTCTCCCGCCATGGGGATGCCAGAGGCTGACTGATGGTGCAGAGCTGCACACTCCTACCCACAGAGGCCAGGCAGGGGACATACCACCAGCAAACTCTGGCGCTCAGGGCCCCTCTGTGTGTGGACCAGATGCACAGGCCAGGTCTCAAGTCCTGGGTACACTGTGACCTAATCTCAGGGTCTCACTGGCAGGGTGGAGGGGATGCAGCCCCAGAGGGCAGGGCCCGGACCCCCCAGACCCCGTCTCTGTGATGCTGCCTGTGCTGTGGGTCAAGGCACTGACTGGCACGCCCGGCGGAGGCAGGGCCCCAGGAGTGGTGGCTGGTGCTCAGCAGCTGTGATGCGAATGGAACAACAAATGCAAAGACCAGGGGGCAGATGGGACAGGGACAACAGGGGGAAGACGCCGAGGAGGCAGAGGGAGCTGCTCACCTTGTCAAAGTGGTTGAAGGACGCCCGGAATTCCTGCATCTGCTCCTGGCTGATGCCCTTGGCATCGCGGGTGAGGATCTGGTTCTCCACCTCATTGATGGTGCGAGCGATGGTGGTGAGCAGCTGCTCCCAGCCTACACGGACATGCTGGGGAGGACAGGGCGTGACTGTGGGCTGGCCAGCGCGGCAGGGCACTTGCTGGACTGTCCTCACCGTGGGGACAGCCTGAGGCAGGGCTGCCCAGGGCAAGCCCCCCACTCTCCCGCACACCTCACAGGGGGCACAGGGCGTGACACTTGCTTGCTGCCTCTGCCACCCAGGGGCTATGTCTCCTGTCGTGTATTTCCCTGTGACAGGAGCTTCAGAGGGGCAAGGACCCAAGATGTGTGTGACGGGACCCCCATGGAAACCTTTTAGAGGCAGGCTGGTCAGTGTCTTAACAACTGGCTCTCAGGGGGAAAAAACCAACTCTGGCTTGTGACATCTATGGAGTTACACAGTATAAGATATTCTCACGACTGAAGAAGACTTTAAGTTACCAGCATAACAGCAACCAGCTCGCCAGATACCTGGCACATGAACCCTCAACAAGTTGGTATGCTGACCTGGCACATACTGGCAGGGTCAAGCAAGGCTGCCACTGCTGAGGCTGTGCACAGGAGCAAGTATCACCCCTCCCTGGTCCCTGGGTAAGCTTGTCCCAAGACACGCATTATCACGGTGATGAAAGAACAGTGCTGGCTGGGGGTGGTGGCTCAAGCCAGTAATCCTAGAACTTTGGGAGGCCGAGGTGAGAGGACTGTCCGAGCGCAGGGGTTAGAGACCAGCCTGGGCAACTTGGTGAGACTTCGTCTGTATAATAAATTAAAAAATTAAGCTGGGCTCAGTGGCTCAGCCTGTAATCCCGCGCTTTGGGAGGCTGAGGTGAGTGGATT